TGTAGTTCCGCGGGGACCGCCCCGGGCACACCTTCCCCTCACGGCCCCGGCGGGAGCTGCGGGGCGGCCCTGCGAGCTGCTGCTGCCGCCCGTACCTGAACCGCGGCGGAACAAACGCTGCAAGGTGCTTGCTTCTCCTCTGGGTTTTCAGGGAGACAGTTCGGGGCTGGACGCGATGGTTTGTGGCTCCCGTTGCTCACTGTGAGGAGAAAGTAAACCAGAGAGATTTCATCCAGATGTGGCTGGGGCCCAAAACGTCATCAATTCCTTGTAATGCCCAGCACTGCCAGCACGGGAATCCAATGGGACCCAGGCTGTTTCTGAGTAACTTTTGTCAAGAGTGTGAAAGTGACACGGGTGTAAGACACCAGCTCGCCCAGCAAACTGAATTAATGTATAGCTATGTCCAATCAATTGCTAACAACAGTCTAAAAATCCCTTTAGCATCATTTGCCTCCTAGCAATACAAGACTGAAAAGGGACCAGGCCATGAGGTTTGACCTCCTGGCATCGCAGCCAAGCCCTCGAACAAGCCCATTATCACCCAGTGCTGGCTTGGGGCCCCCCTAAGGAATCTCACCCCACTCTGCCGGGCAGAAAGGCTCTGTCCGGCTCCTCTTTGCTGAGGATTAAGAAATTTTAATCTACAGCTTGAAAAATATATAAACAGTTTATACCTGTTTGTTCCTGTAGTAATAATCTTTAGTTTAATATTGTTTAGTTTAATATTTGACTTCTCTGTTTCTCTGGTATTTACATTCTTATATAGACGCGGCTATCTGAATGACCACAGCCCTTTCATTATCTACATTTTCTGATCTTGTTCCCCCTTCTCCTTTCTGTACATTCACCTTCCAGGAGTGGACATTTGGACCTGCACCCTGGGCTGCAGTAGGGTCTCAGTAGAATCTTCTCCCTTTCCAGTCTGCTCTGAATAGCCCCTTATTTCACACTACATTTTTATCACACCTGTATGGTACTGATGATTTGAGACATTCTTGGACTGATTTTTCCACAGCTCCTGGCAACTACTATCTACCCAGAAAGAGGAAAAATCCCTGTTACTGGTCCAGTTGCACCTTTCCAGCACTTCACTCTCAGAAAACTGTCTTTCCTCACTTAAGGTCTTTTCCACCCCTGTCCATAGTCTTTTTAGTTTGCTTGAATGGAATTTTGCCATGTACCTTTCTCTACAGTATCAACAGCTTAATACATGTTGTCCTGCTCTCCCTGCCCTACTTCAGTGCTCCACAGAGGAATGAGAGAAAATTCTTACCCCAAGGAGTCCAGTAACGAAGTGCCTCTCTTCAATTCCTGTCTTGGCCAGGAAGGTTCTCCAAAAACCATGCAGTGTCTTCTTCAGGGTCCCCTTCTGACCTGTCAGGGTTTCTGCATGGCTGGGTATTGTCATGTTGCTCTGAAGCTCTGCATAAAACCTGGACAAAAGCCTAAAGATTGCAATGGTGTTAAGCAAGTGAGGAGGGAAAGGAGGCAGAAAACCCATGGCCAGAATGCTGCAGAGCAGCTTGGTACCAGCCTGGCATTCATTTTCGAGGCAGTTACGTTACAGTGTGTGTTAAACATGGAATCAGAGCACAGCAGCCAGTCGGCCTCAATTTGCTTTCCATACACTATTCCCTGGGTACACTCTTACAAGGTGAAGAACAGGGTCTGTAGATGTGCACAACGTTTTGTGAAAGCTCTGCCTGTCAGGCTGAGAGCTGTGAAAGTGCCCAGCGCTGGATTAGTGATAGCTCCTGGCTGCCAGCCTGTGTGGAGCAGCACTGCTCAGACTCACTGACCAGGCAGGGGGACAAAGATTTTGAACTGGTGGAGAGGCCCTGAAACCTTTGCTTTAGTATCCTAAGGTACTTTTTATACAATATGCATTACCCAATCTTTTTCTCATATGAATTTCCAATATGATGAGTAGTGTTTCAGCCTCTTCATACCAGCCTAAAAGTGAATGTGTGCAGAAGCTGACTACAATGCAAGGCCAGTGATACCTTTCTGCTTTTGCTTCCTTTTTTTTTTCCAAGACTGAACTGCTTAAATAAATCTTCCTGCACATGAATTATATCCACTTCACTGAGAATTTCTTGCCCTACTTATTTTGTTGTGCAACTCCTTATTGTGGTAGTTGCTCATATTTAATAAAGCTTCTGTCTAGACTTAAATCTTTGTTATTTTAAAGCTTATACTTTATATTAAAAAATCATTGTATAAAACACAGGTCATTGTGCCCATACTAGCAGTAATACCTGCCACATATTTTCCCAGCTTGTGATAATGTAACAAGAAGCTTATAAAAAGTATTCACATGAAATACCAACACTGTTGAAGAGAATCCAGCCTGATAAAAACATTTTATATAAACATGGCTCAGACATCTCAGTAAAATAGCTACTACCTCTCAGGGAAAACTAAAATGTAGTATTTGGTTGTACAAAGTGAGGTAAATGAAAAAGCACAACATGATGACACACTCAGAAAAACACAGTTACAGATATGTGTCAACAAAACACCAGCAGAAATCTCAACTATATTTCAAAGAGTACACTGAAAAATTAGTGCTAAGTTTTTCCCCAACTTTGCTGGGAAGCTTTTCTCCTAGGAGTGAAGAACCTGACTGTCTGAATATCCAGATTTTTAGGATTTGTAAAGCAACCATGTCTCAGTAAATACTGGCATCTTCTCTCCATGTTGTTATTTTGGTGTAACTGCCAGAAGTGATGCCAGGTACAGAAGAACAGTGTCTGGCATTTCATTCTTTACTTAGCCTTGGAGGATGCTGCTCCTCAGCCCTCTGAAAGCACCCTGGACCCAGGGAAGGGCATTTTCTGCAGCTCTCAGTTACTGCTTCTGTTGGGGGAACTTACAGGTGCTCTATCTGCTCTTAGGCTCTGGACTGTGAGCAAACCAGAAGAAATGACATCCCTATGATTTGTGTGTCACTATGCAAGCTCAAAGCATTCACACACTGCTTTGGTGGACAGTGGTTGCCAAAACAGACTGCAAGAATGGAACTGCTGTTACAGGATGGCAAATGTTCCAGTCACACATTGGGTGACCTTGTTTTCCCTTCTCTCCTTTGATATAAAGCAAACCCAGATACATCTGAACATGAGCAGACATGACATTCATGACATGCAGTTCTGCATTAAGGTTATAACAGTTAAACTGATCATTTAAAAACTTACTCAGCTCTTAAACTGGTTGATGAGACTGATCACAGGTGCTCTCGAGAGCACATTGCTGTAACTTGTTCTCCAACTGCTCTGGTGACCGCATAATTCAGAAAAATATGGACAGTTGTTCTTTTGCCTGTAAACATAATTAGTAGAGACATATCTAAATTTGATTACCATCCAACTCAAAATTTTATATCCACTCTACTATAAAATCTATTTACTTAACAAATCAGCTTAGGAACACTTCAATTTTTATCAATGACAATCTGATTAAAAACAGTGTATTTCTGAACTTTCAATTGCACATAAAACAGAAATGTCATTGTGGGCTGTTAGTACAGACATGCCCCTCTGGTTCTAGCTTCAAATAAAAATAGGAACCATCAATCAGGGATTTTTAGTGAAATTTTTGTATAGTCCATGCAATAATACACATTATGAAAAAATGCTTTCATTCAAATTAGTGTCAAAACCTCATTTTTTTGCTCATGCTGATATGAAAACCAGTAAAATAAATATTGCAACTATTAACTCTAAAAGGATCTAAAGGCAAAATCTACTAATACAGGAAGAACAAATACTCATGGTTGGTATTGCATGTATTATTATTGACATATTATGTGACTGGTACAATCTAAATTTTTCATTCCCTACTGCTCTTAAGTATTTTCGAAGTCTCTTGTTCTTACTGTGCTCTGCAGCCGACATTTCTTACACAACATTCTACACCATGTAGATGTGACATCTACTGGCAAATAAATGTAACTAGAGCAGTTGGTTATGGAGAGCTCCTCAAGGTGCAATCAGAGAA